CTGATCCTTTCAGTAAAAAGAATTTTCAATTTTGCATCGACAAATAAAAGTGCTGGGCTCGAAATACTAAAACAAGATCACATTGTTATGATGGTCTGGAGCAATTTGACTTTTTTTCAGTATTTTGACTATAGCACCTTCATTCGTTGATGAAAATCTTTGTACCGGAAAAAAGCTCTACAAAATTGGATATGTTAAAAAAAGAACTCTCAGATCTTCATATTTCTTATGATTGATTAATAATGAAAGTACTCGAAAAAAAACAGCTATACTTTGGATTGAAGTAGGTAGTGCTCGATTCCTTGTATATCAATAAGCTGTTGATTTAAGAATAAAAAATAATAACTTTCCTCTATTATCAGGAAAGAAAACTTATACATTGGAGATACTACATCATTTTTTTTTTGGATAGGTTATTGCTGGGACACCCAGTAGACAATACCTGATATTTCTTAATTTAAAATTCAATTGATAATAGTCATTCAAAATGAATTAATCGAGTATATAATAGATTACTTTATACCATTAATTCAAATGATAATCTAAAATAATTAGTTCATTTTATGATGTACAGATATGAGAATTATATAAAAAGAACAATTAAATCAATTGAAAATCTTATATTTGAATGTTATATTTAAATTGAAATTATGATACAATTAATAGATTATAAATTATTGAAATATTATGAATATTTAATAATTGTTAAAGACCTAGATCATGATCTATATATGCTTGGAGAAATTATTCAAAGTAAAAATTTTATTTGAATTGATCAATGATATTTAATATAATAACACATGAAGGTAAATCTAACTCTTCAGTTGTATGAATTAAATTGTAGTTAATCAAAAAAAAAAGGTGTTTTTTTCTTCAAGATGAGATACATTTGATGATAAAAGTTTTCATAGGTTACAATTTATCGCCATTCAACATTGTATCTTACCATATTTAGAAATATTAAAATAAAGTAACAAAAAAAAAGTATTATTTCATATTAGATATTGAAAATAGAAAGTGCGGTAGTATAAAGTCGTATGATACAAAATTCAAGTAATTTTATTAATGTTTATGATGATATAAAATTTAGGGCTATTAATTGAATAACATTTACGTATATTAAACTATGTTTATACTGGTATGAATTGACTAGCTATGTATGATTGCATAGAATATTCGTTATATATAGCAAATAAACAAAAATTAAACGAAACTTACCAGAGACAATTTGTTAATGTTGAAATTAGTGTCGAATTCGATTCAAGTCAATAAAGAATAAAATTCATTTTTTTCTGTTTTGGAATGATCTAAAAGAATTAAGAATATTAATTTTGTTTTTTTCTATTCTTATACAAAGCAAAAAAAATAATTAAATATTATAGAAATATTTTCTAAGTTAAAAATTTCTTAGGTCAGATTGATTTTTTTTGTTTTATCTCATTTATATTTTGTTTTTACATATAAACACGTCATTCTATTTCGTAAAAGCATAATATTAAAATATTTCCGTTATATTTTCCTGTCTAGAATATATTAGATGAGAAGTTCTATTCGTACGGAAGTTGTCGAAGATTAAGTTTTATCTCATTTTCTTTCATGTTCAATATTTTTTCATATATCTATTTATATTGAATAAACAACAATAATTATCTAACTCTCTTATTTAAAAATACATAATAAAATATTTTTGCATTTTTATTAATGATTTAAAGTTTCGTAGATTTTAATAATCCTATAATTTGAGTACGTCATATCTGAGATTCTCATATAAAATTCATCTATGAAATTTATGTAAACTTTTGAAATAACATAAATAATATGTAAAGAATTATAAACATATGATTAAAATCTTATTGATCACTAAAAAGATTTCTTTTTATCTTATTCTTATCTATTAGTCAGTTTTTCGATAAAACTATTTTTTTAATTAATATCGCTTAGATAAGTAGGGTAATTTTAGTTTGTGTATGTGTGTTTTTTTTAAAATGAATATGAACTAATATGTTATCTAAATCTATGAATTTCAAAATAATAAAAAACAAAAATAAATAGATAAATGATTATTATTTAAAAATTTTATTTATTAAAAAAAAAAAATAAAACATTTTTATGAGAGAACACTTAATTTTCGTTGTTTTTTAAATTGAAATAATGGTATGCCACAGAAAGTTCGTTTATATTGACTAGAATTAATTTGTTCATCATTGTCATAATTCTCTTCTTCATCATTAAAATTTGTATCAAAACAAAAACGACAAGCATGATCATGTATAGTTGGATAAACATAAACTTTTTTATTTGTATTTAATTCAAATAATGTTTGTAATTGATTTCTTAAACGAAAATGTCCATCATATCGTTTTGTAAATTCAATAATAAATGATGTTAATTTTGAATAAAGTTTTATTAATTTTTTTATTGATTTTTGAAATATATCATGAGATGTTAATAATGTATGATCATGAATAATAATACATAAATGATTTATATTTATTGAATAAGTATTATTCATATCTGATGGAATAAATGATAAAAGATTTTGTCGATTAATCATATTTTTTCCTTGAAAAATAAAATACGAACAAAATCATTTATTATTGATATGACTTTACAAAATTATAACATGTGTATCCCGGAATAATGAACTTTCCTAGAACTAATGTTTTATATATGTTAAGTTACTCGAGATACCTTGAAAAATTCAACACTAGACACTTATGTTCAGAGAAGTTATCAGTAAAAAATTAACACTAAAAAGGATAATCGACTTTCAATTCATACATTTTAGTTTAAAAAAAAAAAACTTCGTATTGAGGCAACTTCTAAGGCTAAAAAATGTCTACGCAAGGTTTTTTCTAAGCTTGTCTAGACTTTTCGAAAAATAATCGATTTACTTTTCGTTAGCGACGTGATAAAGTACGAGTATACAAACAAACAAAAATGCTTTTATAACTGAATAAAAAGTTCAAAATCAAAAACAAAAATTTTTGTTTCGGGAGAATTTCGAGAAAATCGAGTTTTTAAGACGAAGATTTTTGAAATCCGATTTTGCTAAAAATTTCACTATAGATGCGATTCATATCGCAGAATTTATTCTTCAGTTTTCACGGTTTTTTTTTTCTCATATGGTTAGAGAGATATTTGCTAATTACTTTTAAATCAATGGTCAAATGAAAGAACTAACATTTTTACAAATGTCTATGCTAAAAGAACTTCTTCAAAAAATTCAAAAGTCAAATGAAAGATTTGTATGTCTTATTTTTACAATGAAATAGCTCACATATAAATATACCTATTGTCAATGATTTCATATGATTCCATTTAAATTGATCTGTATATTGAGCAATTTGTTTTAAAAGAACAAGAAAACTTGGATGAATATCAGTTTGATTTTGTTCTGAAATAAACATTTTATCTAATATTCGTACATCATTCATTGTTAATAATATTAATTGTTGAGTCATTAAACATAATTGAACAACTGTTCGACGTGACATTTGAATATTATTCATTACAATTGTTTGTATATTAGATTGTAATATATTCGGTATAGCTTTTACTATTTTTTCTATATTCCACATTCCTGAACCCATTTGATCAATTTTTCCATCAGTTATTATTAAATCAATTAATAATGGTAAATTTGTCATTAGTGTAATTAAACCATTAAGACTTAATTCAAATTTACTAATTGATAAATTTTTTAATGAAGATATTAAATGAGATACATTATAAATAGAACGAAGTATATAAGATTCAAATGACTGTGTTATTTGATTTTTATCTGACCAAATTATATTTAAATCATTTAAAAGTTCTATTGATGTTGTTACACATTGTATATAATCAATAGAAATTATTTGACGTCTATACCAATATTCATTTTGTATATAAGATGAATATTGATTTATATTTAATGTTGAATTTAATTGTAAATATTCTAATGGTAAATCAATTTGATTAAATTCAATAAAAATTTTCATTTGTTTTAATTGACATATATTAATAAGTATAATTCGTTGATATTTTAAATAATTTATATTTGTATATAAATTTAATGGACACATACCATGTAAATATGATAATTCAAGTGTATGAAGATGTGAACATGAATGTAAATATTGATCAAATTCATTTATAAAACTATAATCATTATTTAATAAAAGAAATTTTAATGTTAAAATTTGTAAATATTTATTAGGTAGTCGAGAAAATATTTCATGAGAATTATGATCATAATCAAACATTATTTTTAAATGTAAATTTATTAATTTTTCAAATTTATTATGAAGAATATCTATTGAATAAAATGCTAATTGTAATGTATTTAATTGATTTAAATTATTTATATGATGTAAATTTATATGATTATTTGTTAAACGTAAAATTTTTAATGTTAATGAACAAAAATTTAATGATTGTAATGTATGACATATATATTCATCATGTATAATTAATTGTTCAAGATTAGAAAATTTTTTTAAAGAAAAACCATTATCATAAAGAATTTTTCTACATGTTAAATCAAGTTCATTGATTATTAATTGACGAATTGTTAATGCATTTGATATTAATAAACGAGAAAAATAATTAAATAAATGATAATCAACAGTTGATTTTATATGAATATGTATCCATAAACATGAAGAATTATGTATTAAATTTTGTATACGTTTTGATGTATGAAAACTATGATAAAGACGAACTAATTCAATATGATCAAGTGTACGAAAAATTTTTATCAAAGCAATATCAGGCAATTCACTTAGAGACATCTGAAAAAAAATATATATGTTATAAGAACCCTATTAAAAATGTACAAGGACAATCAAATGAATAAGACGACAAGCTTTTCTTTTCATCCATCAACTATTCTCTATCGTGGTAAATTATAGTTAAAAAACAAAAAAACCACCTCCCATTATATTCACTTCTCTATTCATTTTCTCTTTTTATGTTTCATAAACATACACATAAACCTTAATGGTTACAAAAAAAAGAGGGAAAAAAATTCACAAATATTTTTTTAATATATATAAATAAATGAAACATGGAACAAAAAAAAAGTAAATTTTTTTTTCTAAAATCACCCATAAGATTCAAATATGTACTTATTTTCGTAAGTTAAATATGTTATAAGTCGATCATTCATCAATGGAGATGTTGATAATTGTTTAATATCATCGGGAAATTGTTTAATATGCATTTTAATTGATAAACGACAAATAGATTTTAATGAACGACATGAATTTTCTTGTTGATAATGTATAATTGTTTCAAAAAAATTCATAAAACCAATTTTTTTATTTTCTAATTTTTTATTTAAAAATTGATATTCATCTGATCGTAAAAGAAGTTTTATTTGATTTAAATTAAATGTTATTTCACCATTATCATAAATTTTACAAAGAAATTTATTAAATAAATTACTATCTTTTTCTTGTTGAGAATCTTCAAAACTATATAAAAAAAAAAAAAAACAATAAAAAAAATTTTTTTCTTTAATAATTTGAAATACTTAAGAGTCGATGATGGATATGGAAAAAGCATATCTTTTGAACGTGAATGAATAAAAAATTCATGATGATTTTTACAAATATAATATATTCCAATAATTTCAAGAAAATAACCAATCATTTTTTGTTTTGTAGAATTTATATTTGTTTTATTATTTGTTACATTTATAAATATATCACGTAAACGATATTTTAATAAGAAACAAGCTAAAATAGAATTAATTTTTTTGTCTTTTTAAATATAAGATGAAATCTTAACAAGAGAAAAACAAAAAAAAAAAAAATAAGAAAAAAGAAGTTTATTCCGTCGAACAGAAAAATAATCCGGTACAAGAACTTCTTTTTCTTTCCATGAGTCCATTAACTAGCGTGATGTGAGAAAAAGAAATTCTTTCGTGTATAATTTAAGTCGTTTATCAATCTATATATATATATTTATTTATAATAGTATTTAGATAAATCTGAACTTGTCTAGAAAAATGTACAACTATTTGACAATAGTACTGCAATTATTTTTGATGTCAAGGTATAAGAAACCGAAAAAAAAAATATTTCTAAAAAATGATTAAATAATAGAAAAGAATTAATTTGACAATGTAAAAGTACCAATCCCTTGTGCTTATCAATTATATATCTATATTTAAGTCGTCATAGACTTGTCATTTGAAGAGAAAAACTTTTTTTTCTCAATTTGTCTAAAGGAAATCCTATGGAATGTTACCTATATAATTTTCAAGGAAGAATACTTTCTAATTGTGGAATTACTTACTTCATATGGAAATAATTATTTTGATGTCTTGAAGAAGAAGAAGAAGAAAAAAATAATTAGTAAACTAGGACAATACTTTCAATATATTTTAAGATTTTTGTCTTCAAGAGCTATATATCAATTTGTAAAGGTCCTTTGAACATTTATCTATTACAATGTATACATTTCATACGGTTTTTTTTTTAAATAATAAAAAAGTCAAAAGTTATTGTTTATTTGTTTGAAATTTTGTTTGGAATAACAATTAGATGTAAATTATTGTTTAAAAAAAATTCCGATCTGAATGTATAATCAAAAAAGAAAATCTACTAACCAAGTTCAAGTAAAATATCAATATCAAATTCATTCCAAATAAAATTTGTATAACTATTAAATAAAGATTGATAACTTGAACGATTAATAGATGATGGTGAATATTCAAAAAATGATTTCGATATTTTACCATTCAATAGAAATAATTTATGTAATGATTGATAGAGATCTTTAGTCCTATTGTCAGTTCGATTTGGATTTATTTTTTGACATAAAATATAAAGAAGATATTGATCAACAATTGTATTACCAAATTGATCATATCCATTTGATAATAATGTATTAGTAGTAGTTGTTGTTGTTGTTGATGGTGTTACTTGCAATTTTAAACATGATGAAAACGAATCATTTAATGTTGTATCAATATATTCTAGCATATTTGGTTGATTATCAGATCGACAAAGACGTGGCCGATTAGTGGTACCACTTGTTGATGAAACTGTATTTGTCATTACACTGTAATCAAATAAATAGTTTTTATTTAAAACAAAAAAAAAAATCAAACAAAATAATTTTATTTGTTTACCTGTAATTTTTTGGTTTTTTTTTTTTGTTAAATATTCTTTGGCGTTAATAATCACTTGTATGAAAAGAGAAAATAAAAAAAAAATTGATGATAATTAGTTGTTTAATACATAAGTGAATAGATCTTTGTTGTTGTTGTTGGTTTTTTTTTGACTTAAAACAATTGTTTGTCTTCACTGGTTTTTTGTTTTATAAGTGTCAATATTTTTGGTTAACTTAACATTTCTTTTGTATAAACAAGTAATAATAAATAATGAGAAGAAAAAAAACCTATATAAAAATATTAAAAAAAAACCAATAAATATAATATAGTTGGACGGGAAACAAAAGTAGATGTATTAAAAATCAGTAGAAAAAAAAAATGATTTCTTTTTCTCATTTCATGGCTTATGAAAAGACCATTTTTTCTATGGAATATAAAATAACAATCTTTTATATGATGTCATCAATTGGAAAGCAAGAGAATAATGCAAACAAACTAAGATGAATAGTACACCGTAGTATTCTTATTTCTTTCTCTTATATGAAGTTTTTCTTGCTCTCTAGGCCTATCTCTCTTCTCTCTCTCTCTCTTTCTCTCATTTTTTTTTTGTTCCAGAAAGTATGCCCGAATGATGATGAAGATGATGACGACAGGAATGCAAAAAAAAAAAGAAAAGAAAAAAAAGATTGGGTTTCAACGAACTAATTGGCTAGTGGTACCCGCTGGGGCACTTTTACTCACTCACCAGTTTAATAACAACGATAACGATACAATGAATTGGATGTGAATAATGGTTTTTTTTATTCGTCTTCTTCTTCTATTCCGGATGTTGTTTGTAGTTTTGATGATAGTTTACGATCAACTATAGTACAATATACTCTTGTATCTATTTTTAATAATCATTTCTTTATTGATCATATAAGTTACATTTTAATATAGTATTTATGTTTGTTTAATTCGAATTCGTGCATTGGATGCAAAACTTCATATCTATTCTCATGAGATGAAGATTTAAGTAAACGAGAAATAATATATATATAAGAACGTGAAATAGAATGTGAAAAATAATTAGAATAATAAATAATCTTAAGAAATGAACGATGACTAATTTTGTTAAATATTATTATCCAAATAAAATGAAAAAGAAATTGTTTATCGATAATTTTTAATTGATATAAATTGTTGCTTTCTATTTTTTTTTTATTTCTTTTCATAATATTTAAGTAAATCATCTGTTTCAGATTAATCTTCGAATATGTCATTTCAACATATTGTCATAATTGGTTTTCTTTTGTTTTTTTTTTTTATGTAGCTTAATGTATCATCATGATGAATAAAAGCCATCTGATATAAATTAGGATCGTCTTTGATTAGAACCATATATCAATATTTATCGTTCTTATTTAAACACTCTACACATCAACTGTTTTGATTGATGTAATTCCAAGATGATGAATAACTTTCATCGTGAATTTTTGCTTCGGTTGATAATAGTATACAGTGAGGACTAATGCAAATAATATTAAAATCTGTTGATATTTGCATAGTTTTTGTTATTTCTTTATCTGTCTAGAATATGATACAAGTTTGGTAGGTTATTGTTGGTTTTTTTTTTCTTTAATACTCGACAAAAAAAAAGAACAAAACAAAACGTATTGAAGATTATTAGTGAAGTATTTTGTTCTTTTCTCCTGATGAATAAACAATGAACAAAGACAAAACAAAAGAATAAAGCGAGCACCAGCAGACAAACAAACAAAACAAACGAGAAAAGATTTTCATTTAATCACTGTTCCATATAAGATAAATTAAGTATTTTTTTTCTTTTTCTTGTTTTCGAATTTGTTCGACCAAGTAAGGCAAAATGATGCAGAAGAAACACATGTTATGCATCTCTTTGAGAACGCCAGAAACAAAAGAATATTATCACTTGAGATCAACATGCACACTCACACACGGAAAGGAAAAAAAAACGAGGAGTATACGGAGAAAGCAAAAAAAAATGAAGATAATTGTGCCATTCGACTACAAAACACACGCACACACACATACAAACAACCGTTTGCAAAAAAAAACAAAAGAAAAAAAAAAGATACAAATATGCTTAGAGATAGAAGAACAAAAACAAAAAATTCTAATAATCAATTTTATCGCAAAAGAAGATTATAAACAAAAAAACAAAAAAAAAAAACAAAACGAACCCTCTCAGCACAAAAAAAGAGAGAGAGAAACAAGAAAACAATACATAAAAACGAAAAACGCGTATTTATTTCATATATTGAACAAAAAAAAAGAAAGAAGAAAAATTAAATGTCATTTGAAATATAATTATTAATTAAGACAAAAGAAAAAAAGCCAGATAATTATATAGAAGAATATAAAGAAAAAAAAAATACTTTTTCTTTTTTTTTTTTGTGTTCCGTTTATTTCTTTTTTCTTCTTCATTTTATTAGTTGCACATGAATAATCTCTCTTTCGTTTTTTTTTAATTAAACAGGTACACTTCCAATCATAACTTTCGATACAAAATTAACAATAGCTGTTGATGGTTGTGTTCGATCAATTTCAGCAAATATATGACATTCATTTTCTGCTTGAGCCGATCTATTATTTCCATTGATTTTCTTTGAAACAAAACCAAAACATCTATAGAAAGAAGAAAAAAAATGACGAAATAAAAATTATAATATAATAATAAAATATATGTTCTATATTTTATTTTTTTTTACTTTGCTTTCAGTAACATTTCAAGATCAGGAAATTGATGTGTCCAATAACGATCTGTTTCATAGTCAACACCACAATATGTGACATATTCTTTAGGAAAATGACGTCGTGAAAATAATCTAAATAATCCGATGTCCCCTTAAAGGATTTATCATGAACAAAAAAAAATATTTTATTTTACTTTTTCTTTGTATCAGTTAATGTTATACCAGTATTTGAAACTTTAAAATGAACAATTGTTGCTTGTAAACGATCAGCATTTTCAAATGTAGAACGTAATGCTTTATTTACGGCCATTTGACCAGATAATGATTCAACATCAACATTATTTAAATAGACAACATTACAAGCTGAGATTTATTGAAAAAAAAAAAATTTATTTTGAAAAAAATTTTGTTTTATTTTTTTTTTATTTCGAAATTTACCAGCTCCTTTTTCAAGTAAATCTTTTACAGACACTTTTTTTAATGTTTCATGCTGTTGTTGTTGTTGATTTCCTAGAGAACGATAATCTTCAGTTATATCAGCAGTTGGTAAAACTAATTTTATTGGTAAGGCAAGTGGTGTTATTGAATGTTGATAGACTAAAGCTGATAGATTGGCTAAAAACAAAAACATTGATAATATTAAATAGTTCATAATTATATTATAAGAAGTTCTTTGAAAAGAGAACAAATTAGATTAGTTAATTATTTCCTTTTTTGATTATTCATTGGAAATTAAAAAAAAAAGAACACGATACATGTTAGTTATTTTTAAATAGATATTTACACTCTCAAATATTTCATTCTCTTAATACGGAAAAATTCTTTTTTTTTTTTTATCTTCTTGATTAACTTAGTTTTTTTCAAGGAGAACAATCTTCAAATCTTATACTATTAAATACGACTAGGAGTGTAAGATTAGTATTAGTATAAAAATATGCTAATTCTTACGCATTAGTATTGAAATTCAGTCGCATGTTTTTTTTTTTTTTGTATTATTTTGAAGTAGAATTAATTGATACTAATAAGTTTTTATCATTAAATTAAAATTATATAAATATAAGTGGCTGTCTCAATTATCCAACTAGTGGAAAATTTTATTTTGTTTTGATCTTAAAAACTAAATGGAGTAGAAAATAACCTGACTTCCATCAGATTTAGTGAAAACAACTTTCCAAGTAAATCTATTTATTTATTTAATTTTTTTTATTGATGATACAATCGTAATATCATATTGTTTTTCATCCAATCAAAATTATTCAACTGAATTTTGTCAAATTTTTATGCGCTTGTTAATTTTAACTTAACATTTTTCTTTATTATACATGATTTAATATAACAAATTATACTCTATGTAACGAGCACTTTTTATTTCTTTTTTTTTTGTCGTTCTTTGAATTACAAAATAAGATTCTTTTGATCTATACAATAAATTTTCAACAAAAGATCTTTTTTTTCTTTCATATGATGTTTAGGTAATTTTATTGTTCAGTATAGCATTAACAAGAGCACTAGAAATTGCATAGATTATAGATATTGCATATTGGAGAACAATATCAATCGTTTTCTAGTATACACCAATCAAAAATAGACATTGTTGTATAGGCTTATTTATGCATTGAAGGAGGTAAAAAACATTATTTTCACAGCATGGATTTGTAGCAAATCTTTTTTTTCCCTGACAAGATTCACGACGGTAAGCGTTTTAATGTTGCTATTTATGATAAACAGAAATTTCGAGACCTGATTTTTGACAATAAAAAAATTGTTCAAATTGTAGTAGGAAATTAGACAAATTATCGATAATTTAGAGTTCCACTGTAGCTCATCGGTAAACTAAAAGTTCGGCAATCTTTTTTATTGTAGAGATTCTGGCGGATATTGTATGGGAAAAGATTTTCTACAAATCTACGCTTTGAAAACAATCTTTTATATCTCCTTCAATGAGATGAATAAGTCTATAGAACAATATCTATTTATGATTGATGTATACATAGGAAACGATCGATAAAAATTTCTCAAAATATCCATACAATTTGTAGTGCACTTGTTAATGCTACATTGAACAATAAAATCGGCTTAACATCATATGCAAAAAAAAAAGAAGTCTTTTATCACTTTGACATTAAATATTCCAGTATAAATCAAAAAATCTTTTTTTGTAATTTGTACTCAAAGATAAAAAAAAAATACTCGTTACATCGAACACAATTTGTCCTATTCAAATATATATTATACAAAAAAAAATTTCAATGTAAAATAAGCGCGCAATAGTTTGAAAAAGAAACATAATTGGATAATTTCAAAAGGATGAAGCATGGCGTGCTGTGAGTATGTCGTTAATAAAAAAAAATTAAATAGATCAATGCAGTTTGCCTGGAAGTTTTTTTTAATAGTTTACTAGGCACTACCAGCTGTAATCTGATGAAAGTCATGTCATATTAGTTCATCCAGTTTTCTTTTTTGTTCTATTATGAGAAAAGAAAAAAATTCTTCAAAATCCAAATGAAATTGCTCTAGTTTTGAGAATATTTGTTTGTTTTTTTTTTTGAATAATATGAGATCTAGTCACAAATAGTATATGTATACTGCTTTTCTATCAAAAAAGATTCTTCGTTCAATTATCTAGAAAACGAATATGATCATGTTTAATTTATAAAACTTGATATAAATGTTTTTTGAACTCTAATAATCTACACTTGTCTTTGTGTACACGATAATGTCTATCCTCTTTTCTTTTACATTTTGACACTATTGAAAAGGACGTACAGAGAAAGGGAAACGATAATCGAATGAATTCATTTCTATATTTTTCGCATCTTATACACATCTCATTCTGATACAAAGTCTATTAGAGTCGAAAACGCGTACCGACTTATATTTACATTAAGTTTGCTAACTAAAACGTGATCATAGTTATTCAGTGAACTATATCATTTTGTAGATAGTCTTTTGGTAAAAAAATTTAATTCGATATGACTTGAATAAGAAAACAAATCTATAAAATATAGATGATGTTATTATTTTTATGGCACATCATCGATTGCTATGGTTAATGTTTATTAATTCTAATTCGATACGCTCCTCGTCTCGGTTCCACTAATAAAAAGTTATCATAGAATATGAATCAATTAACTTATTGAATTTCATATGTTTTACACGACTTCTTCAATCTTATCATCATATGATTGTAATCATATTGAACAACAATAATATGATTTCAAAAAATAAAAACAAAAGTTCATACCAAAATCAGGTTCATTTGGACATCCTTTCAAACGAACATGTCCAGTTGGTGTTCGTTCAATAAGATAATGTCGAACAAGTTCAGCATTTGGATCAGCTCCTAAATTTATATAAATATTCCTTTTTTTTTTTTCAAACTATTCAAAATCAAATAATAAACCTTGTTTTGCTTGAATACCCGCTGGTAATGTTTCAACTTTAATTGCAAGACCATATGAACCTGGAAAACCTTGACTATCTCGAACAAGAAATGTTCCAGGTGGTTTTGTTTTAAGTAAATTAATTGCTATTTAATAAAAAAACAAGTCAAAACAACAGAATATTTCTTTTTTTATCAAAACATACCATCTTCACGCGATAATTTTTCTTTATACCAATATTGACTAACATTATGTGCTTGATAAGCACCATTACGAACTACATCAGATTCTAAGAAACAAATTCAATAAATTTTTATCACGCAATATAACAAGGTTAATGAATTATTCTATTATTAAGTATTAATAAAAAGAAAATGAAATAATCTATATGAACTAGAAAAAATATATCCTCATGAGATTAATATCATAAAATAGTAAAATACTTTAAATTTATGTTTTTAATATTAAATTAAGTTGTAGGTAGATAATAATTTACCTGCAGCAGATGAAATACTTGAACGTCGTGAATTTTCTTCTTGATTTCGAAATGAACTAAAACAATAAACTAAGAATAAAAAAAACAACTATCAAAGACTTTATTTTACCTATTGCCTACACGTGTTTGCATATTTTGATTATCTGAAAATATTCCCATCGCAAAAAATATATATATATATATATATAAATATTTAATATAAAGGACGTGCTGCAGTAAGGTCATTCTTTGCACACGATTTTTTTTACTTTTATCTACCTGAGAGGCGCTAAGGGCTACTAGAAATGTTTCCTACGACTTAGTTTTGCGTCATGTCAAAGCGCGATTTTTGCCTCCCTGGAGTACAGCCGGGATGAATTTTTTCGAGAAAAACAAAACTTTCCAAGATATTTTGAGATATACATGGATCGACTCAGTTCTTTGTGCTGATTTCAAATATGACATTTGTTTCGGCTGAAAGTTGACCTTTTGTCACAAAATCGGCTAAATATAAGTGGAAAATGCAATTGTTCAGCATTTGTTGGTACTATTTCGCAATTTTGATAGTATAGTACATTTTTTTTGTTATTTCTCAGACGATATTCAGATAGAGCATGAAAAACTGTATATATAGCTGTTTGACACTCGATCATTTTGTGGTGGTAAAAGATTACACAAAAGGATGAATCGTTTCGTTTTATGAATTGTCTGTAATTGTATGAGATATTTTGATTGCTTATCGATTGATTTTAAAACTGAATCGATTTGGAAGGAATAGAACAAACACTTTTGCACATTTTGCCATATTTTAGAGAGAAAAAAAATAATATTTTCATATATATACATAGGCTAAAACATGACAAAATTGCTCTATAACCTATGTAGCGGTAAAATGCTTTTTTCATTTACAAAACTCAACTCAATCGAAGTATAAATATGATATTCGTAATCAGCGTACAAAATTGCATAGAAATGATATACTTTTAAGAATATTTGAGAAAAAAAAATTTTTTTTCGAATCCTGAGGTCTACCCCAGGGGGGGGGCAAAAATCGCACTTTGACATGGCGCAAAACTAAGTCCTAGGAAACATTTCTAATAGCCCCCTGACACCTCTCAGGTAGATAAAAGTAAAAAAAAATCGTGAGCGAAAAATGGCCTTACTGCAACACGTTCTCTAATTGAATACATACAAGTTTGAGTAGCTACTGGAAACGTAGGTGTTTGTGGTGTTTTACTTGTTATTGTTGTTGTTTGATTATCAAAACGATCAGCATTTACAGTTGGTATCTATTAAAAAATATGAATAAAATTTAATTAAAATCTATTAAAAAAACAAATAAAAAGAAAACAAGAGCTTGATCTATTCAGGGTAATATGTGAGAAAGTGAGATATAAATGATTTCTCTTACAATCTCTGCTGTAGTCGAAAATATTTGTGGTTTTGGTATATTTGAATCATTCGATACAGGTAATATTGTTGTTTCAATAATAGTACATTGTGGTCTTGTTGATTTTTTAAAAGAATGATCATCAGAAAATTTTCGTTTTAATTCTGGTGATGCTGGCATTTGTTGTTTATTATTACTTGGTGGATTAGATAAACCAACAGAACCTGGAAAAAAAGTTGGTAATACTGTAACATCTTTTCTCGTTGTTTCCCATTGTTGTTTAGCTTCTGTTGATGATGGTAATGTATTTATCGTCTAGATGATATAAATGGAATGTAATTTTTCTTTGGAATTTTTTTTTCATTTCAAACATTCCATGCGATTGACTTTTTACATGCACAATACAATATATGCGGGACAGGGGGGAAGGGATTATTAACAAAAAATGAATATATTTCTTTTTTTCTTTTCTTACTCTTTTTTGTTGAGATTTATTTGTTATTGATATTTGTTGATCAGGTAAACGTGATATTGTTGTTGATGTATCTTGTGTAAAAACAGGTATTGATGCTGAACGTAATTGATCTTGTGAACGATAACGTTGATTATTATCAATAAATCGTTGTTGTTGTTGTTGTTGTTGTTGTGATATAGGTCTTATTGTTGATTGTTTACCAACCCATCCACTATCACCATATTGTATATCAATAGGTACTTGTTGACGAAAATAATTTTGTTGTCGTATATTCATACCAGAATCCGTTTCATAACCACTTATATTATCAGTTCGATTACGTAATGTATTTGTTTCATTAAGAAAAGAACTACCACGTAAATTTGTTGGTACATTATTTAAATTTGATGATGATACCATTCGATTATTAACAACTAATGTTTCAGGTATAGCTGCCATACGTGGTGGTAATGTACGTGTCATACGTAATCGACCACTACTAATTAAACCTGTATCTGTATCATAACCATCTGGACGTAACATTGAACGTTGACCACCACCACCACCACCAGAACTACTTGTTGAATAACCTTCATGATGACGTTCACGTGCAAAATTTGCTGGTTGATGAGTATAATATGGATAATGCATAGGTGGAGGTATATGTTGTACTGATGGAGGTGGAGGAGGACCGCCATAATATCTGGGAGCATAAGTACGAGATGTGACAAGACCTGTATCAGTTTCATATCCTGAGTAATCATGACCACGTACACGTACACCACTTGTTGGTAATGTTGAACGTGAATAATGATAATATTCATTTGGAGGTCCATCCAGATATGTACGTGAAGGTGAACGAACTAAATCCATACGACGTAATTCAATTGGTCCATCTGGTGCTGGTTCTGATGTTGCACGAAAATGTGTCGGAATGGCTGTAGTTGATGCTGATGTAACTGTTGTTGTATAACCATCTGATTAGAAAGACAAAATGAATCATCAATTTTCTGAACAGCTAACTTTCTGTGTTACCTCGATTATCTTGACGACTATAAGGTCTCCTTGATGATAATGTACTTGTTGGACTATCATTTCGTACAAGTTTTATTGGAAATCGTCCACGCGTTGGATCCATCTAGACATAGAAAAGAATTTATATTTCTCTTCGAGATAAAAAGGAAAAAAAATCATTTTCTTATTAATATATGATTTCTTGTTTTTTTTTTAATCTATTTTGTTTTTCTTTCTCTTGTTGGTTATCATCATAATAATGCTTGATGTTCTTAGTAATCTATCTTTACGTAATATTCATTTTGTCTTGCTGTGTGTATGTGTGTGTGCCTATTCTATATAGATAATCAATAGATCGTCTTAGTTTTCCTTCAACTGCCTTATTTGACATTGAGATTGAGAAATGACGAATATAGTTTTATCAATATTCGTTTATTATTATTAATCAATTTCAATCTTTCATTTTCTTTCATATGAAGGAAAAAAAAGAATGTTCTGATTAATCAAGCGAAACTTCATATCATTAAAACACAATTAAAGTGTGACCAATAATCATATCAACACTTGATTTACTTACTCGATGAACCGAATCTGTATAAGCAGCACTTGAACTATATGTTCGACGATTATTTGTTGGTTGTTGATGATGTATTGGTATATCAGTTGTCCATGTTGTTTGTTGTTGTTGTGAACGTTTTCTTAGAGTATTTTGAACACTTTCTAATAATGAATCAATAAGTTGTTCATCAATTGATAATTGATCACGTGCTGCTGTTGATTGAACTGGTTTATTTGTTGTTGTTGTTGTTGTTGTTTTCATTGATGAAGATGTTATTGGTATTTCTGTACCATCACTAGTACTACCACCACCACCACCGCCACCACCACCACCACTACCACCACCGCCACGTTTTATACGTATACGTTCTTCACGTGTTGTTTTTATACGTTGTTCTTCACGTTGTGTACCATTAGATGATAGTGATGAACCATCAATAAGACCACTAACAGTATTAGCATCAAAATCATTACGTTTTTGATTATTTAATGTTGATGCTTGTGCATATGATGATGCTCGGAGAGATGAAGGTAATTTTGCATTTGATATATCATTATTATCATTATTAGATTGACGAGAATAAGAATATGATGAAGATGATGTTGAATATTTATTATTATTATTATTATTATTAGTTGTATTATTATTATTACTACTACGATTAGTTGTATTTGTACCAATTGGTCGATTTACTTCAGTAAGTAAATCTTTAACAAGATCATCAAGTTGATCAACATCCGATTTTAATTTTGATGATTGTGGTAAAGACATGTTGCCGTTTGAAGAATTATATGAGACAGGCAGCGAAATGCCGCCGTCACTAATTTTACTGACACCGATGTTGTTATTAGGTAAAGAAGGAAGACGTGTTATGGGTATTGAAGAAGGAAAAGAAGATGATGAAGCACTAGTTATTTGTACAGGCAAACTAATAGACGTTTGGTTTGTTTCAAATGGTAAGGAAGAAGAAGGAGAAGAAGAAGAAGAAAATGTAGTAGCGTTTGTAGTTGTACTAGTAGCGTTGTTATAATGATTGACTTGCACGTTTTTGTACATAGTCTAGAGGAGAAAAAGAAGAAAGAAAAAAAATCAAAGAACAACATAACTTCTGTGTTGGTGCCACAGTAGCAGTAAAAGAATAAAAAAAAAGAACGAGGTAAAAAAAAAAGAACGAAAGAAAAGAAAGAAAAGAAAAATCGCCACTTCTCGTAAAGGAAGAAGAAAAAGGATCGTATAAGATTAGTAGGATCTATTTTTCTATCTTTCTAGAGTGGTACCATTTTCTGTTATAACAATCGTTTCTTTTTTTCTCTCTTACTCTCTTTTTTTTTCTTTTTCTTCTGTTAGTTCGTGCTTACAATTTTTACGTAACCCTTCCCTCATCCGTTATTCTTAGTATTGAGACGAAGCTGCTTGTCGTCCTTCCGTTGCCTCTACCATTGCCTACATAATGGCATCAACGACTTGTATTTCTGTTCGCTCGTTCGCTATCATGCTGCATTACTCTATCTAACATATGCATACTGTGATGAGCAAGAAAAGAGAGGAACAGAGGAAAAAAACTACTATAATTTGCTTATACAGACATATATTCATAATAAATTGCTAAAAAGTTCTGACAAACTTTCCGATAAGACTACGTGTATATGTCGATCAAATCAAGAACAAGAGAGAAAGAGTCCATTATCAATGTATGATAGTTATATATAAAAAACAATAAAATGCCATTTTGATTGCGAAAAAAAAATACGATGAGAAAAAATTTTCTTTTGTATATCCTTTTGTTTGTAAGTAAAAATAAATAGGATGATTGAAAACAAACTCAAATTCCATGAATATTTGACTTATAAACAAAAGAAATCTATTGATAATAGTGAAGGTGTTGAAAAGATATCTATATATTGTTGATAGTTTGATTTATATATATACATACCAATCAAATAATGGTCAAGCCATCGTCGAATATTATGTATATAAGTAGAGGTCAACATTAAGGTTACAATATCTTCTTCAACAAGCAACAGCAGTAGCAGCAGTTAATGTAGTAGTCGTCAAAATTCATTCATCTGAAAAAAGTCATACCGGAAGAAAGACAAAAAAAGAAAACGAGAAGAATAAGGAGAAGACGAAGGAAAGAGAGAGGAAGAAATCAATGAAAGAGAACACGAAGAAGAAAGTACAATTATGAACAAAAGAGAAAAATCAAGAAAACTAGTACGGGCGTGATTGATTATGAATGCAATACTTTTTCTGGTATCATACACACATACACAGACAAAAACCATCTGTGCATGTATATCATCAATAGAACACTGTATAAATGAATAGAAAAGATAATATACTATCAAGGGAAACAAATCTATAAGTAATAAACAGAATAATATATATGTATATTATTCTGTCCTTGATTAATCTTGAAAAGTCAAGAATTTTTTTGTTTGTATATTGTTCGATCTATTTTTCTAAACTAAATAGAAGAAAAGCAAAACAATTAGCATACCTTGTCTATTTTCAATAGTTTGCTCATCAATCATATTTCTTACTCTACTTTTTGTTTCTTTTGCTTTTTACTTATAGTCGTTTTTTTTTTCTCTTCTTCGATGTCTATCCGCGAGACACAATCCAATATAAGTTCGTACGTACACGCATTGCATAGAATGATCACCATCACGCGTATTGTCTCATCTTTCGATCGCGAATCGATTTCATCTTTCTCTCATTCTCTCACATATAAATCCATATCAAACATACGACCGTCTATGATGTTCAGTTGAGCAGTAGAGAACTCATAGAAAAAAAAATCTATATGTGAAAGAATAATGAATGGCCTACTGCCAAATAGTATACATACGCGTACACTGTACAACATTTTCTTTTTTCTCTCTGTCTCTTTCTATATGAATATATATATGTATGCAAGATGAACTCATTCGACGAGAGACAGAAAAAAAAAAGAGTGCACTCTGACCGAGTTGCATGTTCGCCTTCTATGTCGTTGTTGTTGTTGTTGATAATGATGATGATGATGAAAGGAAGAAGGAATGATGGCGATACTAGTAGCCAAATAGAACAAATGACTCGGTTAGTTTGATGCAAAATCAACAAAAAAAAACGACATTTTCTCTGTTTACATGTAGGTTTTGTCATTTAAGAATGGAAGAGTAGATATAACAGTAGACCTTCATGACAACATCAACATTGCTAATACGAACAAGAAAAGAAAAAGAGATTAACAACAGGAGTCATAGAAAATCTCATATAGATCAAGGTTTGGATATATATATCTCATCTGAACATTGTTATGGTCAATCATAAACAGCAAGGTTCTTCTATATACACACTTGTGAAAGATTAACGTCAAAAAAAGAAAAAAGAAAAAGAGATATTATCACTAGAGTGCGCGTGCATGCATATGCATATCGATATATCAACGTTCAAGGGTAAAATAATGTCAATAGCAAAAACAACAACACAAATGAACGATATATGTGAGTTAAGTGGTTCGATGAACAACAAAATGCATTGAAAAAAAGAAAAAAAGGTTTAATCGTGATCAGAATCAGATAATTTAAATGCATTCATATATATATCTATATGTATTGTCAATACTCAATTGTCGACTCAACTTTACTATCTATCACTCTTTCGTTCATGTTCTATCATCTATATAAATATCGTTTTCGTGCTATGTTCTTATCACCCTTTGGGTATGTTGAACACCACGACAACGAGGGAAGACAAAAGGTCACATATATAGGATGTGCTTACGTAAGCATATGTATGTATACGGGCATTCGTTGATCAAGGCAATATTGTTGTTTCAAGAAGACACGTAGACAATGAACGATTATCATTCGGTTGATTAGAATGAAAATCAGAGCAACACAACAACAATAATAGTCATCCCCGAGCATCACATATATTCAGTTGAACAATTTTTTCTTCTTATGTTATTATGAGGAGGGAATAGTTGAAGAGAAGAAGAACAGAAAGGATAAGTGGAGGCAAAAATTCTTCTATACCAACAAGAAGAAGCCATCGACATGTCTGTTGACCGAATATCGAATAGCATTCATATGTAAATACGTATACATATATATATATATATGAGCATAGATCAAAAAATCTTAATGTTCATCTAAAATATAAAGGTAATCATCGGTAGAAAGACGTGCATGTATTAAATATAAAAAGGAAAAAACAATTAGAACAAAACAAAAAAATCTAAAATTTGCTTGGTTTTTTTTCTTATCTCTTATCAAAATTATTCTATTTTTAAAATATCTTTTGTTACTCGATCATAGTTTTTTGTTAATTCAATTATATCACGATAAATCCATGTACAACCTGATTCACGTAATAATTTTTCATCACAACCACCACAAAGAACACCAATAATTTTTAATTTTGCTGCTACAGCAGCTATTATAAAATAATAATAAAATATCTTTTCAATAATAATTATTATCTTACCTTGTGCATCCCATGGTGTATCACCAACAACAACAACACGATCAGTTGATGGATTTTTTAATAATTTTAATGTTGCTAAAAATATATCTAAAATTAAAAAATAAAATAATTAATATTCAAAAAAAATTCATATATAATTTTTATCTACCTGGATAAGGTTTAGATCGTTTAACATCTTTTGAACTTGAACTTGTTTGACAATCAATTAAATCATGAACATTAGCAATATTTTTATAAAGTTCTAATTCTTCTATTGGTGCTGATGATGCAAGTGCAATAAGAATATTTCGTTGTTTAATTAATTCAAATAATTCTCGAACACCAGGAAATGGTTTTACTTTATCAAGATAATTATCTTGAAATAATTGTGCTTTTTTTGCTTTAATATTTTCACCATATTTTTTAATTTGTTCATTTGTTGCAAATACAGGTAATAATTGATCAGCAGCTTTACCTATTTGCATACGAACATCAGATAGATTTGATTTAATATTATAATATTCTAATGCATCATGCCAAGCTTTTGCATGATAATCAACAGTATCAATAAGTGTACCATCAACATCAAAAATTACAGCATCAAGTTCACGTCGTTTTGTTGAAATAGAACGAATTGATAAAGGTAACTAAAGAAAATGTATTAGGATAAGAAAAAATAAAAATGTTTTTACGACCAAAAATAAACATACTTGACGAAGAATTGTTGATGATAAATAAGATCGAAACATTTCTATCGATTTATAAATAATAGAAAATAAGTAAGGCCTCGAAGAGACTGAAAATAATAAAACGAATTAAGCAGCGTGATTAGTCTATTTCGATTTTAATCGTCTTTTTGAGGCAATTTATTCGTTAATTCAATTTTAATTCACTTTGAATTAGTCGGTCTGTTCGGGACCTAAATTAATTCAATAATACGTAACAATTGACAACTATAGGACTGACATAGTGTCCAATGACCTTTATTTGAACAGTATACATGTCTCATATATATATGTGTAAGAAAAAGAGGGCGCTATTTTCTTATAATCTCTCTTATCGAAGAGCAATATTTAGAATTGAACGATTGATAATAAGTAAAAAAGACAATCGAACCTTCAGCCAATGTATTCTCTTTATAACTACTCTTCGTTGTTAAAATATCCTTTGAAAGTTTCGTATCTTGAACCAGTGGCCAATTATCTCTAAATTCTTCGTACACGTCGATTGTTTTCAGTTTCTCTTGCTCAATTATACACAGCACTTAATGGTTGCCGTCTCAAAATAATAATGTGCCCCGATATCAATCAATCTATGCA